TCTACTACACATCCCCCTGGCCGCCCTATTATTGCAAGCACCAATAGTTTTACTAATGGCCTTTCTAAATACATCGACCATTTTCTCCAACCATTAGTTGTACAATTGCCGTCATACATCAGAGACTCCAGTCATGTGATAGAAATCCTCAGCCATTATCAGTGGAAACATGGGTATCATTGGGCATCACTTGATGTAACTTCCTTATACACATCAATCCCCCACCACATAGGCCTACAGGCTCTTCAATATTTCTTATCTTCTGAAAGTTCTATCAACTCCACCCAAGCCAAATTTATTATTGAATGTACAGAATTTTGCCTTACCCTTAATTATTTTACATTCCTTGACCAATTTTACTTGCAAACTAAAGGGACTGCGATGGGAGCGAATTTCGCCCCTTGTTACGACAATCTCACAATGGGCTTTTGGGAGAAACAATATATACAAATAAACAACCACTTTGCCAAATATATCATTTTTTTGGGCGCTATATTGATGACATTTTATTAATCTGGGATGGTGATTTGAACGAATTTTTTATCTTTTGTCGCATATTGCAATTCAAACTACCTTGGACTTTCTTTTACTCATGTTTTTAACTCTCAAGATATAATCTTTTTAGACTTGGTTTTGTCAGTCACAGATAATGAAATTTGTAGTACAAATTACACCAAACCCACTAGTGGGAACCCATATCTACACTATTCTAGCTGTCACCATCCAGCCTGGAAAAATAATATTCCCAGTGGCCAATTCCAAAGACTAAGGAAGAACTGTTCAAAATTATGTGATTACCAAGAGCAAGGTTCTCTCCTTTCAAAAAAGTTTTCTGAGAAAGGCTATCCCCCTTCCCTTATAAAAAACGCATATACCAAACATAGCGTATTGATAGACCGAACATACACTCAGGCCCGTGACCAGTCTAACTCGGTTAGGTTCATCACTGGTTTCAACACATCACATCGTGATATTACAAACATCATTCGCAAACACTGGCACATTTTACAATTAGATCCTAGATTAGCACCTAATCTCCCACGCGTCCCACAAGTAGCTTTCAAGAGAGCCCGTTCTTTGAAAAACATTCTAGCCCCAAGCAAAAATGTCACTGTCCACCTACATAGACAACGGCCCCCTTCCTACATTTGACGACAGAATTGGTATCTACAGATGCAACAAAAGAGGTTGTCTCACCTGTCAGTCCATTACCCATGGCAGATCACAGTTTTTGGACTCCCAGGGCAACAGCTACCACATTCGTCAGTTTATAACGTGTGCAACTGACCACATCATATACATTCTCACATGCCCGTGTAAGCTCCTATATGTAGGCCGAACCACACGCCCTCTACGCAAACGCATAGGGGAGCACAGAAGACTTATAAGAGATGGATGCGATAAGCATAGTGTCCCTAGGCACTTTTTGCAATCCCATCAAAATAATTTCAGTCTTCTTGAGGTCTTAGCAATCGAAAATATTCCAAAGGGTACATTTACTGACAATGAAAGACTAGCCCGTTTGTGTAAGAGAGAGACGTTCTGGATCTACAAATTAGGTTCTATGACCCCCAATGGTCTCAATGAGGATCTTGAAATCCATAGCATTATTTAACAAGTTTGACTTCTAGTCCCCGGAACTAGGATCCTCCAGTGTGTTTTTTATTACATACAGTATTGTCTTCTTTTAATCCTTGTTTTTTAATCTGCACTGTCACCATGTATATATTCTGTGCACTCAATTACGAATACATGTTATTACGCATCTATTATATTTATTTAATTATGAACATATGAGCTACCTAATTTGATACCAGGATTGATTTTATTATATTCCTTTTAGTCATACCTTTTATACAGTCATTTTCATATACCTTTGATACAGTCATTTTCATATGCCTAGCATTCACTTCTCCCTACTCCCTTCTTTGCCCATATACCCATAATTACCTCACTGTAAACGCAATTTTTGACATAGCTTCCATGAACCAGCGATGTCATTTTTAACTTGTGTGGTTTTTGTTTTTTTTTTTTTTTGTTTTTTTTTTTGTTATTGTATTACCTTTATTTCACTAAAGATGAAAGTATATCATGCTTTCCAATGCTATTGTTTTTATACATATCATTTTTTATAACTTGCAATCTGTACCTTTAAATTTGTATTCAGCATTGCTTCAGGACGAGCCGTCCGCTCTGATTGACACCCCATCCCCTGCTAATTACACTCAGCCAGCCTTCCCTTTAATGGTCTTCTATATAATGGCCGCCGGCCATGGTTACCAGAGACTTGACAAAGCGCAACTGCGCGAAACATGTCGTCTTGGTAACCCCACATATGCTCCCAGCTGAAGCCAACGCCGGACACTGCCTTCGTCAGCCATGGTGACACCACCCAGGACGCTGGTACGCTGACACCACGTGATTTGAAGCCGACAGGAGCATTCTTTGATCTCAGCTCTCCCCCAGAGCGGACGGGCCGTCCATTGGAATCACACTGTCCACTTCAGGCTGGTTAATTTTATTATACTTGCTACTTTATCTCACCCAATAAAGATGCACCTCCACTAAGGTGCTTGCCTGAGAGCATTTTCCACAGCGCCTTTTTTTCCAGTTCTCCCCCCAGTGTCAGAATGCCCGCTGCAGTCCCACTATAAGTCGCTGATCGATGCCATTACTAGTAAAAAAAAAAAAAAAATCCCAGTATATGTACCGCCATTTGTAAATGTTATAACTGTCATGTAAACCAATTAATTTACACATATTGGGATTATTTTTTTTTTTTTTTAGCAAAGACGTATCAGAATACATTTTGGCCTAAATTTATGACGTAATTTAATTTATTTTTAATTTTTTTTTACTGGACATGTTTAACAGCAAAAAGTAAAATATGTTTTTTTTTCTCTCAAAATTGTCGTGGTTTTTTTTTTATAGTGCAAATAAAAAAAACCCCGCACAGGTGATCAAGTACCACTGAAAGAAAGCTCTATTCTTGGGGAAAAAAAAGAACGTAAATTTCATTTGGGTGCAGCGTTGCATGACCGCGCAATTGTCAGTTAAAGTAACGCAGTGCCGTGATGCAAATAAATGACCTAGTGAGGAAGGGGGGTAAATCCTCTGGAGGGCAAGTGATTAAACACAAATGAATTGCAGCCTTATTGCCTCCCACCCGCCATATAAGGTAATGACGGGTGCAAGGCGGTTCTCTTGTTCTGGGACAGCGCAGCGATCTGTGGTGCGCTGTGCCCTCGGACACATCGGATCACTGATCAACGGAAAGAGCAGAAGATGTCAGCTCGGTCATGTGATCAGCTGTGTCCAATCACAGCTGATCACATGTAAATAGGGAAATGACGATTATCGGCATTTCTCTCCTCACGAGCTGTCATGCTGACAGCTTGAGAGGCGAGCCGGTAATCGGCATTCCTTGTAGGGGACATCTACACTGATCATCAGGGCACTTTTTTTTTTTTTTTACATACTGTCACCAGTGCAGTATAGCGTCATCATATAACTGGCATGGCGGTGATCAGGAACACTGACTGGTGACAGTATGAAAAAGAAAAAATTATAATTTTTTTAAATTTATTTTATTATTTTTAATTTTCTATTACTTTTTTTTTTTTTTAGATTTTTTTTTTTTCATATTTCACTATGACCAAAGTAGTACAATGTTACCATAGTAACATTGTACTACGGATGCAAATAGAGAAACAGAAAAAGGGCGCACCGACTTAGTGCATTATCGTTTAAAGATTTATTGAAGAAACAAAGTAAGTATCATACTCACAATAGACATAAAAACACAGGCATGTCAAACTGAACAAGATGTAGGATCCAAACAACATCTGAGTCCATACGATGGAACCCTGGATGACCAACTGGCTAACGCGTTTCGAGGACACAACCTCTTCCTCAGAGCCAACATTGTACTACTTTGGGGAAGTGATCAGTATTTTCTCTTTTTTTTTTTTTTTTTTTTTACACAATTTGCTTATAGCGAAGAATTACTTTGCTATAAGCAAGCATTTACCTGAATGACATCGATTCATTTAGGGGTGTTTTTTTTTTTTTTTTTTTTTCTGCTTAGCTGTGATTTGGCCACGGCTACTCACATGACACAGCTGGGCTGTGATTGGCTCAGCTTGTGCATGTGATCGCTGTGACCATTCACAGCTAGACACTAGTATGCAATGGATGGCATGAATGAAGCCATCCATTGTATACAACTGTCATGTGACCTGCTGTGATTGGTCACAGCAGGTCACATGGTATTGGCAACGGGGCCGGTACTCAGATCTGTCATCAGCCATGTCCGAGGTACACGGCCGGTGACAGATCGCGCCGCTGCGCGGCTCTGCAGGCGCGCAAACTGCGCATGCCCGAAAGGACGCTGTATAGCATCCACCCGGAAAGGTGAGGGTTTTTGCCGGCTGCCATTCGGCCATAGGCTGGGCGGGAAGAGGTTAAAGTGTTACTAAACCCACAATAGTAAAATCAGTGTGTATATGCAGTAAAGCATGCTTGTTCTACTTGCTGTGGTGCCTAAGGTAGTAATCCTCCGCATTGTGTAAAAAGGCTGTTTGATCCTGTCTTCTCTGATCCTCTCCTTCTACAGTCCTCAATCCACCTGCTGATATAACAGAGCATTGGGCACAAGCGGCACATTCTCAGTTTGGTGTGTATTGCTGGAGAGGTTTTTTTTTTCTTTCTTGGGGGAGAGCATGTGATCAGCACTGTCCAGAAAGCAGATCAGGGTTTTTTGCAGCCTCACTGGACAATTGGGAGAATGAAAACACCTACAAGCTTTAACCAGTGCTTTGCTGGTCACAAGACTTCTATAAACTGCTGATGAGAAAAGCTATTTAGCAGTTTATATTTACTAAAATAATTCCATGTTCTTTGTACTGTGGGAGACAAGATATAGTGAATGACAGTCCTGTGTTTAGTAAAAATCTTTTAAACTTGCTGACTTGCTGATTTCCAAATATCGGTTTTTGCAGTGGCATGGAGAGCTCAGATTGATGCTACAGTTCTACAGCCGGACATATTTTCAGAAAATATTGCTGCCTTCTCCTTTGCTTCTGGAAGCTCCAATTGTAAGTGGTCATCTTGTTTTTATGACATGCAAAGTTTTAAAAAAAAATGCCTTTACTGTCCTGTTCATATCTGTCAGTTCCTTAGGAGACAAAAGAACATACATTTGTGCATAATAAATGTCATAATAAATTTCAAATGAAGTACTCTTATGTTAAAACTAATAATAAATAATATACTGTACATATTTATTCTAAGTGGTATGTGGGCTAGCAGCCTTCAAGATTTCATACAGTCAGTTCAGTCAAGGCTCTTTTACTACTGTAATCAAGAAGGCCTAGCCATCATAGAGTTTCTTACTATGAATTTATTTTTATTTTTTTTAGATAAAGTACAGAACGGTTTAAAACCTGGGCAGAATACTTTTTTGATGTCTCTGTCCCACTGAATAGATTTCCCTTCCCTTTCTGTCCTGAGTATGTAGCAGTGAATGAGAGTAAGTCCCTCTAAAGTGGACAAAATTCCAGTCTGAAAGCGTTATCATAGGATCAAATACCAAAACCAGAAATCTCCCTTGCTACCACTGAAACATGCTAAAATAATCTGAAACAGTGATTGCAGCAGCTGTTGTGTGTTCCCACATCAAATCAATAAAAATAGTGAATCACATTAAACCTATACACATATATAAATACATGTCTAAATACCACCACATGCATATAGGAAAAGTATATTATATAAAAGTCTACTATTCAATAAAACCACTCAAAATGTGAACAGCAATAATATGAATATTGCCGTAGTGTCCTCCACCATACATAACTATATATAAAGTGCACACTTTAAAATCTAATACACCTCTTGTTCTGTGAATGTCAGTAATTTTTACAGTCCATCATTGGTTTCACCATCACAAGTCCAAAAACGTGTACAGAATATTAATTATTCCCCATAGTGATTGTTCAGTACATAACTGGGAAAGAATCAGCTTTGGACACTGCTAGGGAATGTTGGTTTTTGCATATTACCCTCATTGCATTAAGCTGGAGAAGATGGGACATGTAAATGTAAAAGTATTTGTTTCTGCATGTTGGTCCATTTACCAGAGAGTTAAATTTACTGACTTGTGCTTTAAGCAGTGATTTCTGGGAAATGGCCCTATTTACAGCAAAAACAAAATCTTTAAATTTTACCTAATCTAATAATTATGATTTCTGTGGGTATTGTAATGCTAATGTACTTTGACAAATTATTGTTTCAGTGTTCATATTCAGTCCTACGGATCCTATGCCCCTGTATGTCCATGAGAATGTCTGCCAAGAAAATGTTCAGTGGGCTGTGTTTGTGCCAAGGATTGTACCCACATCTGTATCTTCAGCAAAGCACAGCTGGCTCGTTAGATCTCAGCTTTATTTCCTCACAGAATCTCAGGTAATGGAGTATCTGATTATTTATGTAAGGTGCTGGGCAAATCTGAGAATGTTTTTTCCCTTAAGGCCTTGTTTACACAGGTGGCAAGGGGCCAAAATACCAGGGTTAGAGCCTCCATTTTACCTCCCCCACAACTGCCCACCTAAAACATGTCATACAGCTGGAGGGGGTTGTACACATGCTGTAGCAAGTTTAAAGCAGCTTGTTGAGTTTGGCAGGCTTCACCATATGTCAGACTTGCACATTGAAGTCATGGGGACCTCACTGCAACTGCGAGTCAGATTTTAACCCGTGGTTGTGGCCTCCTGAATTCCTACAAGCTGCTGATTTACAGCCCTCTGACACATGATTCACCACAGATCACTTTTCAGAGGGTCAGTAGAGACTACTGCACATGTAAACCTACACTTAGAGTGTTTATAAGAAGTTTTTAGAAGATTTTCTGTTGGTAATAATGTGCAGAAAATAAAATGAAGCCACAAAGGGTACTTCTGTACTTAAAATAATAAAGCGCTGTGCTCTTCAACAGCACATTGCAACAAGATGCTAGTTTTCTGTGCAGGTGGTTAATGATAAAAAGTAAACCGTGATATTTATTTTGGACTGCAGTTTGCTGGGATGCCATGCTGGCGATGGCTTCTGTTCTTTAGGGCTGTGGCTTAAATTTGTGCTGTGAGTTTTCTAATGTTTGTGAGCTGCATGAATGCTGGAATACATTCAAATTCATGTTACTTCAATCCCAAATATGTACCAGTGGAAAAGCCACCTGCCTGAGGACACCTAACCATTTTATTGCCAGGCCCAGCTTCCCATTTTTCACCTCAGGTGACCAGACCAGTTTTGACATTTTTAAGTTTTTTGCTATTATTATTTGCAGCTTTGAAAATTAATAAAATACTGTCTAAACCATATATTTTCTGAAAGCACAGGGACTGTAGAATTAAAACATGGTGCTAATGATTTTGTATGTCCTATGCTAGAGGTGCAATGTTTATCAAACTATATTTTCAGTACAAAAATACACAATCATTATTAGCCTACACAAGTACAAAATAAGTTCTAAAATACTTACTAAAGCTAAAAATCTGTATTAATGTTGATAAATAATATACAATAATCATAAAATGAATAATATGTATAATAGCTGTGAACGGTAAATTACACCCATTGAGAAAAGGTGAAACTTAAAGAAACGCAGAATGACTTAAAGCAACTTGGTGTATTTGGTATACCCAAAAAATATTTTCCTTCTATTTAAGCTAAAATCTTAAAGCTGACTTTACATCTACAGTATGTCTTCTAATAATTCACAATATGCTGTGCAGTGAGTCGCAGTAGGAATTAATTTTCATGGCATTTTAACAAGCCTTGCCAGTGCGTCTCAACACGTGTGTCAATGCACAGGTTGGAGCTATCAGTGTGTTTTGGTGCACTGCATTGCTGGATAGGTTCATGTGTGAATCATCTCCCCACTGCAGCTTCTGCCTGAAATTTTGATCCGTTCCTGATGCTTACCCACAATAACTTTGGTCACCTCCATCCATTCAACCCTCATCTGCTACTAGCTGTCCGGGTTTCATGAATATTACCCTAAGCAGTTGTAGTACATCTGATTCTAGAAATTGGAGGAGGGAGGATGGAGCCCCGCTGTACCAGGTGCCCCCAGCTCACACTCTACTAATGGCTCTTGGGCTGATGGTGTTGATGTTTGCATACTAGAGTCCTGTTGCCTATCCTCATAGTTCTCTTTAGCTCTGTTGGATGTGGCTAGATCCTTTTTGCTTACCGGGCTTTTATACCCTCCACACCGTACCAGGCCACATGCCCTCAACATGGGGGAGGGGGGGAGCTCTTGTTGGGCATGTTGATGGGGACAAGGGCCTCTTCCCCACAACCCTGGCCAGTGGTGGTTGTGGGAGTCTGCAGGTGGGGGCTTATCAGAATCTGGAAGCCCCCTTCCCCAGAACCCGCCCCATGTGAAGGAGTATGTGATACATGGTACTGCAACCCATTAACAAAAAAAAAAAAAGTAGTAAGAAATGACAGGAGACAGTCTGACAAGTCCTTTATTAACCCCTTCACGCCTAAGGGTAAAACAAATCTAAATGCCTAAGCACAATTTTGCAATGTTGACATGTGTTAGTAAAACCGTACATATCATCACAACTACTTTGTACATCCAGGTGAATTATACCGCGTTTTTTTTCAGGACAAATTTTGCTTTCATTTGGTGGTAAATGGATATCTCCTGATTTTTTTTATTATCAAAGGAAAAACTGGCCCAAAATAGTAAAAAAAAAAAAAAAAAAATCATTTTTTTTATTTAGCTGTGTGTTTCTTGTTACTACCATACCCTACCACCAAAGAACAACCCAAAATAAATTCTCCAGCTCTTGATGATCGCAGCGATACCATATATATGTATGTTATTTGTTGTTTGTACCCGTAGTACAGCCCAGAAGCAATAGTGCACATTTTGTTTTTTTGGGGGTTTTTTACCTACACACTGACATTGACACTAACTGACACTGATGCCAATTTTTTTTTTTAAACCCTGACCTTTTGACCCAAACAATAACCCTGGCACTGAACTAGATCAAACCTTGATCTAGGTATTTTTTCTTTCTTTTTTTTTTTTTTTATATTTATTTATTTATTTTTATTTTTTTTTTAACAAACATTTTTTTTTTCTCACTATGCCGGGAGTTAGAGAGATACAATGTATCTCTCATCTCCATTCATAGAGAGAGAAAAAAACAAGGGGGCAGTGCTGCACAGTTGTCATGTGACCCGCAATCGGGAGTCCCGGGAACCCAATAGAACATGACCCGGGACTCTCAGTGACACTGCAGTCTTTGTGCTGGGAGCGCACAGTGCGGCGCGCTCCCAGCACAAAGACAGGTACGCAAATATGCGGCCCCATGGAAAAAAGCCCAGTTCCGTGAGGCTGCATATTTGTGTGATGTCGGTGTCAAGGGGTTAAAAATAAAAGTAAAAAAAAATGTCCCCTGAAGTAGATCCTACATCAGTCAGCATGTCTGCTGCTATCGCTGACCCGAAAAAAAAAAAACAGAAGCGATCCACTGCTGCACCGCGATGATAGTTCTTAAATACTGTGATGATGTCACAAGGGGGTGGGGTTACCCCCGGCCCCTTGTAACTTCATCATTGGCTGTGATTGGCCAAAGCATTGCACCTGACCTGTGGTCAGGTGCATTGCTTTGGCCAATCACAATGCACTGTCAGGGTGCGGTGGGTGAACAGCCCGCCGAATGCCCTTACTGTTTGTGTGTTCAGCGAACACACGAACGGCCAATGTTCAAATTGAAGTTCCGTTCGACTCGAACATAAAGCCCATCATTATTAAAGAGTGGCTTTTTTCTTGCTACCCTCCCATACAAGCCACATCACAGCTATGGTCAGCTATGGTCAAGCAAGGCAAAGACCCAAATAATTCATTTATTCAGAGGTCACAAGCACATTCCTTCTGCAATGACTCCCAAATTAAAGAGACCATTTGGGTCTTATTGATGCATTGTGCATCATTTTCACACTAGAGGTTCGGTCTGTAGCTTCTACCAGTGCTGTTTCTCACAGTATGCATCCCACCCACCATGGAGAGCATAGAGGGAGAATAATACAACCACTGCACAGCCATAGGCACAACTGTGTCATCTTCTCCTGCTTGCATTTTGTTCAACTTGACTTCCCCCTCCTGTGACCCTCCATTTACATGGGGTTGTACTTCATATCTAGGGCTAGTCCTGGATGCATTTCAAGTCAGCGAGTTCTTTCCACAGGAGAAACGTCAGACATTCCGGTCTCAGATTTAAACTCTCTGCTCCATTAGTTGTCTGACTCTGCACTTTTGCAATAGAATCCTGGATTTGAACATAGCCACCTTTCTGAGGCAGTTCTGTTTGACCATTTTTTCTTTTCCAAACCTCTACAACATAACATTCTGTTGGACAGTTCGAACCGTTCTCTAGAAAGATACGCTTGCTAGCTAGGGCCAATTTGTTCCTGATGGCTCAGGAATTAGTCTCTGGACTATTGAGGAAATCTTTTCTTCCCATCTTTTGGAGGATCCTTATGACGGGATGCTAGCCTGTTGGGGAGTTCTGGGGGTCCTGCCAATCTTGTCTCCTGATTTCTTACCTCAGTAGCACAGCCACTCTTAAGCAGAAATATTTTTCAGAAATGACTGACAGCGAGCCGTCACAGACTTTTAAAAGGCCATACTCCTGTCTTTGCAGGTGACATAACTACTAGATTTTTCCAATTTGAACAAACTGTGAAGTTCCAATTTGGATTGTTTAAAGATATGGTACAAGAAGTTGCTTATCACTCATCCAGTATTGCCTATGGGGCATGTTATTTTTATTTTTTCAAGTGGAAAAGAGTTTTGTCAGTAGATGGTAATTAAAATCATTTACTTATGAGAGTAACAATGTTTAGCTTAATTTTGTGTGCTAAAATAGTTTTTTTTATATATGTATTGCTATAGTCATTTACATTAGCAGAGGTTCCTCTTTGCTCTATATTCAATTTTTAAGTTCTCGGATGTAGTTGATGTAAGGTAGGCTGTTTTTTCAGCCAGTTATTATAGGAATGGACAGATTTGTGCTCTCTTCAATAGGATAGCACTATTTAAGAAAATACTGTATTATCTTCTTATATTATCTGTAATTAGTATCTGTTGGTAACAGATACTTTATTTTTCATAATTGCTTTAAGTTCTGGGTAGTTGTGTATTATCTGATGCATTCTGAAGTCCTCAGCAACTTTACTTTTACTTCTGCCTTTGATTAGTCTGCATGCCTCTCAGATGGTTCTTCAAGAGAGGTCAGACCATACCTCAAAACCACAGACTAACAAGTTCTGTCTCTGGGATTTTTTTTCCTGTGCTTCAGTTGGCATATTTTATTTTTGCGCTTTTAATTTTCTGACACTTGTATTATAATATATTGATGATCTCATACCTTTTGACCTTGCTACTT